AGGATATCAATTATATTATCTCTAAATAAAGATTTCTCCATCCAGGTTTGTTGACAGCAGTCAAAACAGGCTACCAAGTCTCATGACTCACCCTCCCAAATCCCTATGTAACAATACTCCTAAATATTATTGATGTTCAAGGGCACCTTACTAAGGTTTCTGAATGATTCCCTGGCAACTACTAGATATAGTCCCAATATTTTGCTCCTCACCTCCCCCAGCAGCAAGGACTCAAAGCTTATAAGAGCTGATTTTGAAAAGTGGTCGGAAGGCCTGGAGATTCTGCATGGAGTGTGGTCCAGGCAGTTACCCTCAGTTAGTTCTACACCCATCCTTCACTCTACTTCAACAATGCCTTTGGGTTTAACCCAAAAAAACAGTGTAATGTAAAAGGATTCCAAAACCTCAACATGAAAAAATTTGTCGTATGGCACACTCAATAACATAGCTTTAAAAAGTTTTCAACCTTATACTTAGTTATAACTAAGTTATACTTAGTTATAACCTTATACTTAGTTAAAAACTACTAAATAAGCTGTATTATACCCAAGCTCCGTCCTCTCTATCATTCTCCAGCTGTAAACTAAACCACATGCAGCATCCTAGATTAACTTTCAAGGGTTCTTTAAGAATGAGTTCAAATTGCCTATAAAAGTTTGGGTTGATGAATATTTTAAAGTGGGTGATTAAAGAAAATATAATAATCAAAATACGATATTTAGAATCAGAAGACCTAGCTTAAACTTCTATCTAAACTTAGGAGTTTTGTTTCTTTAGTCCCTTTGGATGTTAGTCAACTTACTTATTAGAATACCATAGCATACACATCACAGGACTGCTGTGAATAACCTGTGTATGAAAGGCACTGTAAACTACTGTTACATAGCCATTCTTTAAAAAGAGCATTCTTCAACATACTACTTTGATAAGAGTTTAAATTTTAATAAAACTCCTTCAATGAAATTATTTTTAGAAGCATTACCTCATCAAATCTTAACTATCTTAAGTCTTACTTCATTTTAGAAATCTAGCAACTTAATGTGAATCAATATTGCATCTTTGCAAACTAAAATAGAAATTTGAAATAATTTTCTCTAAACATCTACAATTTTTTATTGTCTCCCATTATTCAAGGAACATAATTAGCTATAAAAACTTAAAACGGGGGCCAGGCACAGTGTCTCACGCCTGTAATCCCAGCACTTTGGGAGGCCAAGGCAGGTGGATCACCTGAGGTTGGGAGTTCAAAGCCTGCCCAACACGTAAAAACCCTGTCTTTACACAAAATACAAAATTAGCTGGGCATGGTGGCACATGTCTGTAATCCCAGTTACTTAGGAGGCTGAGGCAGGAGAATCGCTTGAACCCAGGAAGCAGAGGTTGCTGTGAGCTGAGACTGCACCATTGCACTCCAGCCTGGGCAACAAGAGCAAAACTCTGTCTCAAAAACAAACAACGCAACACAACTTATAAAGGGTTTACCCAACTCTGAAATCTACTGATAACCTATATTCAAATGAAGTCACTGGTTTGCTTTCAATTTGAAATTCAAAGTATTTCACGATACAGTATTTAAGGTATCACTTTTAAACTTAAATACATATACATAGTTTTTACTGCATTATTCTCCTAAACTTAGTAGTACCTACTAATGATGTCATTTACTTACCTTTATGACCTTTTGACATATATATACAATACCATCCATTTTTTCCCCATTAGGATTTTTTTTTCTCCAAAGATATCAATCAAGTTAGTCTTTGACCAACCCTTTCCCCAGCTCTATGCCTCTGTACAGAGACAGGGGCTTAAATCAAATCAAAAGACCTGAGTCTCTGACCAATGTCTGGCAATGCCCTGCTTTCAAGTTCGAGACACCAGCCAGGTCCTTTCCTAGATTATCTATGCAAAAGAACTTACTCTCTCTTCCCTCATAGTCCAGGTTCTGCATTTAGGATGCACAACCAAGATTCTGGAGCTTGACCAGAAAATAATTTCTTCCCATACCAAGGCCCAACCTACACCTAGCTTGGCTAAAGTAGTAGGACTTGTTTACAACTACCCTGGAGGTTGACTTCCATACTCTGGTGTTTTGCCATAGACAGAAAAATTCAGGCTCATGAGATAACAATCGTGTTGTAAGGGCAGCCCAAGCTCCACTCCCTCTGCAAGTCAGGTCCTCTACCTTCTTCAGCTTCTACAGGATGTGACAGCTTTCTCACTCCCTTACCATCTTGCTGTCTAAGGAGGCACCATGGCCAGTATTTCTCCTCATTCTTTCTCCCTTCGCAAGAGATGGGAAGTGGTCCTTCAACTGGCCATATGTCCAAGGGTCCTTTGTTCCTGAATATTCTGGGTAAAGGTACCACCTGTAAAAACTTTAGTAACTGAGAAAAATAAGCACTTACTCTAACAAAGCCTTCAACCAAATTATAAATATGTAAATAACTATTACGCCTTCAATGTCTGTTTTATCCTAAATTAAAATGCATAGGAAACAGACTCTTTAAAAAGTTAGTTGCAGCCAGGCACACTGGCTCATGCCTGTAATCCAAGCACTCTGGGAAGCCGAGGTGGGCAGATTACCTGAGGTGGGGAGATCCAGACCAGCCTTACCAACATGGCAAAACCCCATTTCTACTAAAAATACAAAATTAGCCTGGCATGGTGAAACACGCCTGTAATTCCCAGCTGTTCGGGAGGCTGAGGCAGGAGAATCACTTGAACCCGGGAGGTGGAGGTTGCTATGATCTGAGACTGCACCATTGCACTTTAGCCCGAGCAAGAAGAGAGAAACTCCACCTCAAAAAAAAAAAAAAAAAAAAAAAAAAAAGTTGCAAGCATTGGCAGCATCTGTAAGTCCCTTCATTCGGTAAGGTTCAACATCAGCATTTCCTTCTCTGCTCTTCTTTTAAGCTTCCCTTGCTCTTTTCTCATAAGAACAAACATAATCATAATCATCACTGTTTACCAGGAATTGTTCCAAGTGCTTCACAGGCACTAACTCACATACGTCCCTGAACAACTCTAGGAAGTAGGTAATATTTCTTATGCCTGTTCACAAATGATAAAACCAAGGCTTAGGGCGGTTAAGTGAGTTGCCCCAGTGTGCCCCAAAAGACACTGCTAAGATGAACAGGGCAGCCTGGCTCCAGTCTATAACTATGATACTGTACTGTACACCTAGATTCAAACTGCTAGTAAACCACTAGAGGGCATAGGTTGTGCCCATCCTTCTCACAGCTCCATCCCCAGCACCCAGCAGAGTCTTTAAACTCTTGGTTGAATTTTTCACAGGTATGCCTTCCCCTCTACACTGTGCTGCTTGGGGGCCATGGAAGAAACTGATACTGCATTTCATCCTTCAGGAGTAACAAGTTTTTGCTCCACACAGTCATAAATACTTGCTGAATGAATCTTATATTTATATCAAACATAAAAATAAAAAGCCCTCCTCGAGATAACATAATCAGGGCCACTTCTCCAATCCTAACCTGGCAAGAGATCTGAAGTCAATAGCTGCCTTAAATAATATCTCAAACTTACTATTAGGCAGAGAAGTGGCCTAAGAGTAAACATTAAACAAAATGTTAAAGCTGCCCTTCATGAGTATTGCTCCCTTTAAGAAAGCTGTTTAGAGCCACCCCACTAAAAATACAGACTTGGCAAAAGTTTGGATGTGGTTCATCTACTTTAAAGGCAAATTAACTCATTTCAGATAATCCATCTAAATAGTAAATCCCCCTTACTTTACTCAAAACAACCAGGAATCTAAAAATTAAGATTACTCCGAGTTAGGGAACCACATTAGACAGCGCTAAGGATTAACTATAGAGTATTTAAGAGAGTAATTTCAAACTGCAGCCATTTCTGAATTCCTTACACAGGTATCACACAGTCCGTCACAGCATCCAGTAGGCTTTCCACTAAACAGACTACAATTCTACTATGGTTATCATCTCAGAACAACCTCTTGGTCCCTTACGTATCCCAAGATCTACGCTTACACATTTTGCACATTCTTCATTTTAAAAATGCATCTCAAAACCGAGTGATTTTTTTTGATGGGTCACTGTTTTGTAAGATTAGCATGAATAGAAGCTATTTTAAATTCACTGCAAATTTGTCACTTCTTTCAATACAAGCTTACCTCTTTGTCTTTCCTGTCGTGACCCAAGTTGTTTTCTGAGGCTTAGAAAAGTACAGATAAGAAGAAAAATTCTTTCTAAGTATCAATTCCGTCGCCATCAGGAAACGCCAAAAACTTTGTTTCAAAAAATAAGAGTTAACTCTAAAAACTTCAGTACCTCAAAGGAAAGCCGTACTGTTAACACCGAAGGAGGGTTTGGTGACTTCTGAACATCTGCATTAAAGAAACGTGCTCTCTAAACCTAGTCATTCCTGACGAGGCCACACCTTCTAACCTTTCTGTAATGCACAAATCAAACCGGGAACCATCTAAAAACTGCCACAAGCCAAAGTAAAATGACAGGTATGTCATCCTCAGAGGATCCAAAACGGGGTCGGCAGCCCAGTCGGCTGGCCGGAGCCCACGCTGGCCCCGGGAGCTCCTGGCGAGCGACTCCGAGGAAACACACCTCCCGCGCCAGCCTCTTCCTTCCTCAAGTGACGGGGGAAGGGGGACGCCAGGGGCAGAAACACACCCCCAAACCCCGCTTCAGATCTTGCCCCACCTGCTTCTCCTTCCGAAACAGACGGCCTCGCCACTGGGGAGCCCGCGGGCGATTCGGGGGCGCCGGGAGAAGAGAACACAGGGCGGAAAGCGAACTGGGCGTTACTCGGGGCGTCTCCCTCCCCCAGCGGAACCAGGGCGCGCCGTTTCCTCACGGACGCGCGATTTTCCCCCCAAATCGCCACCCCGGCCCGCCGGGGGCCGCCCTCGCCCAGCGTCCCCTTAGTCGGCCCAGGCCGCGCCGCCGCCCGCCCTCCCCGGCCGCTCCCCGCCGGCTGCCGGGCCACCGCGAGGCCGGGCCACTCACATCCGTCCGCGTCCTCCGGCAGGTCCTCCTGGAGCAGCGAGAGGTCTGCGCCGAGGGGAGAGAAGAAAGGCCCGGTCAGCGCCCCGGGGCCCGGCGCGACGCCCCCGCCACCCTCCCTCCCGCCCCGGCGGCGCCTCCCCGCGCCGGGACCCCGCGCCGGCCCCGGCCCGGCCGCCACTCAGGGCGGCAGCTGAGGACGGGTGGGCGCGGGGAGCCGCCGCCGCAGCCGCACGGAGAACAGGGGGCCACGTACCCGCCATCTTGTGGTCGCCCCCTCCTCCGCGGCCGCCGGGGGATCCGGGGCTACATGGAGCGGCGCGAGCCGGGGAGCCGGTGGACGCGCGCGGGAGGGGCGGCGGGCAGGAGGAGGGCCGGGCTGGCGGGGGCGCGCGCGCGCGGGGCGGGCCGAGGGCCCGGGCCTGCAGCGGGCGGCGCGGCTCCCGGACGCCGGGGACCCAGGCCGCGCCCCGCCCCGCCTGCCCCTCCGCGCGGCTCCCGGGTGGCCGGCGCTCCCGCCTCCCGCCTTCCCAGCTCCCGGCCGGGCCTCGGCCCGGCGGCGCGGCCTCACACCCTCGGCCCGAGCCGCCCTCACGCCGAGCGCTGCGGACAGGGGCGCGCAAGCTGCCGCCGGCCGGGACCCTGCGGCGAGTGCCGGAACCCGGCCGGGTGGGGCCTCCCGCGGCCCGGCCGCTTTATTGGGTCACCGGCCTCGCCCACCGCCCCGCCGGCCGCAGCCTTCTCGGCGGGCGCGCCGCTTGCCGCCCGCGCCCCATCCCCAGGCCTGCACGTACGTCGTCGGCGATCCGGGGCCGGGGGCGGCTCCGAGGTCGGCGGGGCCGGGGTCCCACCTCCGTTTGAAGGAAGCGCCGCCTCCCCAACCGCCCGGAGCCCTCGCCAAGTGGCTGCTAACAAAGCCCAGGGCCCGGCTGCGAGGTGGTTGACTGACAAAGTCATGCCTGCCCAGCCAGCTTCCTCGTGCAGCACGCTGAAGGCTGGGGCGCCGGGTTTTTACTCCCACGTCCTGCTAACTCTAGCTGACATGGAGGGCGATCCACCGGCGGGAACGGTGGCAGGCCTGGGGTCAGATCCTGATTCAGCCAGTTAGTTGGTGGGACTGGGGCCCATGTGGAGAATGAAGCCGTTATCTGCCTCGTGGGGTTATTGGCATGAAACGAAGAATGTAGGGAACCTAGCACGGTTGTTAAGGTCTAGGAGGTGATTGGGAAAAGGCGCCTATGATTCGCTTTTGTCTTTTAAATACTTTTGGCAGCACTTGAGCTGTTCAAGTCTGTATCCCAGACTTTATTAGTCTTGTTGTTTTACATGACTTAAGGGATTAGCTCAAGAGCCCAGGTACAAAGTGGGGCTAAACCCAGGTTTTCCGACACCGTTCTACCTCCATGGCTCTGCCTCCAGCTCTACCCAAGGCCTCCAAAATGGTCGTCTCCTACAGTGACCAACAGAACAAGCTGTGTCATGATGTCACTTTGGCCATGTGGTCTCTTAGAAGAGGGAATTCTAAATAGTTAATTAGCTTGTTCCTTTATGCTTTGTACTCTTGACCAAGGACAATGTATTGGCATTTAATGCCATTGAAGATTCAGACATTAAGGAATCAGATCCTCTAAGATTCCTAAATCTGTGTAATAATATGGGTTCTACACATAGCTAGTCCAAAAAAAAAATCCCTATCAGATATTACTGACAAGATAAAAAGACATTATATAGTCTGTATGAAATTTCTAGGCGTAGTAAAAATCAGACCCCATAACTCTAGGTATGTATCTAATTTTTCAACTATAAAATAATTAAAACTAAAGGCCATTTCTCTTCCCCCTTTGCTGAATGTCCTTCTGTGAATTCAGCTGACAATCTTAGAATCACAAAGGAGTTAGAAATTCACAACTATCAACAGAAATCTGTCTCTAGACTGACTCAAGCCCTGAGAGTTTTGCCCTGCTGAACTACCTTGTCAATATCTACCACTTTAGCAATTCTGGGTAAATGGGAGAAAAAAGAGTCAAATCAGCTCTTTTTTTCATTAAAAAAAAATTTTTTTAGAGGCAGAATTTTGCCTTGTAGCCCAGGCTGGAATGCAGTGGCACAGTCGTGACTCACTGTAACCTGGAAGCCCTGGGCTTGAAAGATCCTCCCATTTCAGCCTCCCAAGTAAATGAAACTAAAAGCGCAGGCCACTCCACCTGGCTAATTTTTTTGATTTTTAATTTTTAAAAAATTTTTGTAGGGACGTGATTCTACTGTTTTGCCCAGGCAGGTCTTGAACTCCTGGTCTCGAGCGATTCTCCAGCCTTGGTCTCCCAAAGCGCCAGGATTACAGGTGTAAGCCACCAAACGTGGCCCAAATCAACTCTTTATACTAACTGGTGATCTCACTGCAACAACACAAAATCTACAGAGTGCCAACTGTGCTTCAGCCACTGGATGCACGAAGACAAAGAAAACTGTCTTGATCTATACAGTCGAATTAGACACATTTCTCAGTAATCATGATAAAATAAGGGTTATATACCAAATGCTAGTCTAGGATATGAGACAACTAATTCTGCCTTTGGTAGCTAGGCCTCAATAAGTTTTATCTCAGTATTCTGTGGGAAGCGCAGCAAAGGAGGAGGATCTGTATCATTTTTCTATATTTAAGAGCTGTGCATTTGATTATCATCTTAGTGGAATTACACATTGCAGCAAGTGCCTTTAAGCAATATAGTTTTTAGGTATTTCAGTGACACTATATCATTCATGGTTCAGCACAAGTATGTGTTTTTTACATTTAACTTTCTCCTTTCTAAAATAAAGGAGTTTTAAAATCAGTATTTACAAACTGCACTCTGTTCCCTTCTTATAAGAAATAATATTTAAATAATAGTAATCATTATTCTATGTACCTTTACCCCAGTTTCATTTACAGTGCAGCTTGTGGATGGCAGAGCTGTGTGTCATCCGTGGTTAGAGCACACAGGCAGTCTGAATTGTTATCCTGCTCTGCCACTGAAATGTGTAAAACATAGGGGGAGTGTCCTAAGTCATTTTTCTAAAAGTATCATCCAACTATGTGAGTACTAGGGCCTGCATTTTTAAGAATAAGTCCTCTTATAAATGATAATGAAAGAGTTTTTGTTTGTTTTTGAGACAGGGTCTTGCTCTGTCACCTAGGCTGGAGTGCAGTGGTGCAATCTCAGCTCACTGGAGCCTCCACCTCTTGGGCTCTAGCAATCCTCCCACCTCAGCCTCCTGAGCAGCTGGGACTACAGGTGGACACCACCACACCTAATTTTGATATTTTTTGTACAGATGAGGTTTTGCCATGTTACGCAGGCTGGTCTCAAACTCCTGGGCTCAGGTGATCTGCCTGCTTCAGCCTCCCAGAGTGCTAGGATTACAGGCATGAGCCACTGTGCCTGGCCACAATGACAATTTTTCTTAGCAGCCAACGAACCTTAGAAATTAATGCGTTTGGCTTTTCAACCACAAACAAACATTTAAAAATATCATGGGGAAAAACATTGCTAATAAACAAACAAAACTCCCAAAAACTCACCTGACATTGTTTGCCACTATCATGTTTGTTCATTTTTGTATCAGTGATTGAACCATTTACTTTTTTCTTCAGAATTATTCCTGAAACTGAAAGTATATAAAGACAGATCTATTATTTACTGTTTTAAATGATGAAAAGAAAAACAGTCTAAAAAATGGAGAAATATTTATGTGATAAAAATTATTTTTAAACAAATTTTTTTTTTTTTACTTTTTTTTAAATAGGAAGTTTCATGAATTTGCATGTCACCCTTGCACAGGGGCCATGCTAATCTTCTCTGTATTGGTTCAACTTTAGTATAAGTGCTGCTGAAAGGAACGCATTAAACAAAATTTTAACATTCATTTCTCTCTTTTTTTGGAGCCAGGTTGACAAACTGTCCCTCATAGACTCATTTTCAAATAAGAAGAACAATTTTTAGGCCCAGTGTGGTGGCTCAGGCCTGTAATTTCAGCACTTTGGGAGGCTGAGGCTGGTGGATCACCTGGGGTTAGGAGTTCAAGACCAGGCTGGCTAACATGCTGAAACCTCTGTCTCTACTAAAAAACAAAATATTAGCTTGGGGTGGTAGCACATGCCTATAATCCCAGCTACTTGGGAGGCTGAGGCAGGAGAATTGCTTGAACCCGGGAGGCATAGGTTGCAGTGAGCCAAGATCACACCACTGCACTCCAGTCTGGGACACAGAATGAGACTGTCTCAAAAAAAAAAAATTTTTTTTTAATTAATCATCAATCTCTTACCTAAAGCCTACTATACATTTCTATAAATTGCATAAAGGTAAATATTTGTGTGAAATTTTACTTGTCCTCCTCTCTGTGCTTTGTCTATCCCACTTTAAATCTCCCTGTCAAGATGATATTCTGAATGTGAAGTCTTAGCCTTTCCTAGAGCTTTCATAGTATTTCAAAGATATTTGATCTCTTTATTCACATCAGCTAAAGAGACATTTTCTCACACTGTCCTTAAGAAAGAATAGAGGGGAAAAATACTTACAGAAAGGAGCTCTATCCAGAGTTATCTTGATTCAGGCTGTTCTTTCTCCATTTACAGGAGCTAACACTGCCCCCAGAATGCAACACAACTTCAGCTCTGTTTAGCATCAGCTTTTTCTGAACAAAATAGTGCATCCTACTGGAATCACTACTGTAAACTGAGTGTAAAGGAAAATAAACCCTCTGTTTCTTATCCACCATGTTCTCTACTCCCATGTTTTTCCTAGTGCTCCAGGTTACTAAAGCCAAAAGGATTCCCCACTGAACCATTTGTTCCACACATTTTAATTTCATTAAGAGAAAACAAAGATGTTTAAACAGTGAGCACTAAATGGATTAGAGTGGGTGTAGTAAATTTCCTTTGTGCCTTTCTCTTGTAATTCAAAAAACTTTAGTTGCAATTGCCTTTAAAGCCTTATGGAAGAGCCTACCACAATGCCAGGCACAGAGTATGTGTGGAGGAAATGCTTATCATTTTCCATGGTTATTATTTTAAACGTTTAAATGTTTATTATTCTGAATCTGAATGGATGAGCCAAGTTGAACCAGGAAATAAACCATAGCAAACCACATATTCAAACCCAGATAAGTTCAGTGGTTAACTGCCTTTGCCTTGATACTTTTTTTTTTTTTTTTTTTTTTTTGAGACAGAGTCTTACTCTGTCGCCAGGTACCAGGCTGGAGTGCAGTGGCACGATCTCGGCTCATTGCAACCTCCACCTCCCAGGTTCAAGCAATCCTCCTGCCTCAACCTCCCGAGTAGCTGGGACTACAGGTGTGCACCACCATGCCCAGCTAATTTTTGTATT